AGCTACATGCCGTGCCCACCAATGTGTTTAACAGAGAGAGGCTGGAACTGCCTTGAGACGCCACTTTGGTGATGGTTACATCAAGATATTGCAGCTGCACTGGCAGAGGGCAGGTTACCATGGTGACTATTAAAAGGATAATCTTATTATCGCTGTTTGTTATTCTGACAGGGTTGTTTGTTGACACGTGCTTTGAGGTGCACATTGCTGGCCAGGAGAAACCAGCTGCTGGACTCAGATCTGCCCACCTTGCCTCCAAAGCCGTGGAGTCCCTCTTCTCCACCGCTGTGTGTTTTGAGGTGGGGTTTTTATTTTTTTTGGTTCTCCAAAACAGAAGTGGCTCCAGCTCCCTGGACTGGGGCAGGAGGGATCTGGTGTGCTGCAGGCACAGGACAAGCTGATGGGGACCGTAAAAAAGAAGAGGAACCTTCTGCCAAACTGCTCGATCCTTTCAGGGAGCTTTTCTCCTCTACTCCTATTTTCCTTGCAAACCCCAAGGGGGTGGAACACCTTTTAGCACAGGATTTGAGCTTGACAGTGAGCATTTACAGTTACAAGAGCTTTGCAAGCCTTCATCCCTGCTTTAGAAACAGCTGCCCCAAGGTGTCCTCGTGTCTCGCATGGGAAATAACAGGTCTGGCATGGCCCATCTGGAACCTTCTGGTGGTGTTGATCTGGGAGAAAACCAGGCGCGAGGACCACCGCTGTCACCAGCACTGCTGGAGCATAAGGAGGAGCGTGTTCTGGGAATGCTGCAGTGCCAGGCCCCAGGCCTCCTTTATCCCATTTCTGGGGCTCTGCCCATGACTGGAAGGGCCATTTCTTAAAGAAAATAAATAATCACCCTAACCACTAACTGTCTGCAGCCCTTGCGGGGCTCCTCTCTCTGTTTCCTAATGAGGGAAGCAGCAGGGCTCAGACTGTGACTGAGTCAGCCCCAAGATGGGAGAAGCCATCAGCTGCTTTTTTTTTTTTTTTTTGGTGTAACTTTATGTTTTTAAAAAAAAAAAAAAAAAGAAGGAAGAGAAGTACCACTGAGCTGAATGGCTGTACTGGGAGACGAAGGGAACATAATGCGTGAAAATCATTTGTTACTGCATGGTTTAACCCTCAATTTTTATTTTAAACACACAGAGAAATGCACTAGAACGTGATTTGAAGTCCTCTTTTCAAAGACTCCTGCACAGCTCCAGCCTTGATTCCAGACCATTCAATCACACGTTCAAATATTCACTACATTTAATTGCTTTATTCCAGTTTTGCAGAGTTTGGGTTTTGCCTCCAGGGTTAGTCTGAGCCTAGCGCCAACCCAGCAGCTGGCTACGCGTCACTTTGCATCCAGCCATGTATCTGTTTCCATCTCCTTTTATTGTTCCTACCACAAATTGAGCTGTAACTCATTTTGAATGCGATGAGCATCTTACTGCCCTGCCACCTAATATAAAGCGATTTGATGAAAAGGGTTAAACCCTTTTAGAACTACAATAAAGCAACTTTGAAATGCGAGGGAAAGTTCTGTGCAGCAAACCCCAACCACTCCCTTGCTTATTTAGCAAGCTATAAAAAATACAGCAGGGAAAGGCTCTGAGTACAAATACCAGTGGAAAGTACAGATGGGCATAATTAATTTTAAAAAAACAACCGCAGCCCACTGTCTCGGGGAGGGGGTGCTCCCAAGACTCCCCTCCCCATAACGGGTGTCCTTCATCCTCCTCCTGTCATGGGCGGGCACTCACAGCCTGGTGTCCCAGGGGAGGAGGGTGATCAGCCGGGGCTGTCACCCCGCACCATCCCACAGCCTGGGGAGCTGTGTGGATCATCCAAGCTGGGCAGCCCAGTCGGGACCAGTCACCCCAGCCAGGGTGGATGTGGTGGGCAAGGGTCTTTTGTGGCCACCGTGGCTCCTGGCCAGGTCCTCCTGCCTCCTTCACTCCCGCTCTGCTCCGCACCCCCTTGGGACTCATCTGGGACTATTTGGGTTTTCAGCACACTGACTGTATCGCTGGGAATGGCTTCCCAATTCTTATTGAAGGGAATTTCTAGGCTGGGACAAAACAAGCCCATGGGGCCAAGGTGCTGAGGCATGACAGGAGGTCCCCAAATAAGCAGGCATGGGGGGAGGACGAGCAAGACCATGCTTCGGACAGGCCTTGCAGGTCTGGCTTTTTGTGTGTGTTTGAAAGGGAGGCCTGGGAATTTATCCTGGTGTCCAATCACCCCTTCCAACAGGCTCAGACCCAGAGGAGCAGGGTGGGAGAGGGGCATCAGGCAGCCAAGGCAGCTCGCTCTCTCCGGTAAGAGACTCCACTTCTGTTACAGACAAGGGAGAAAGGACTCGTTTCGAGCTGTGGCTTTTTTTAAACCTACACAAAGTTTGGAATCTGTTCTTCTTCCCAGACCTCAGAAAAACAGCCAGGCAGTGCAATAAGATGTCCCCACCTGCCCTTCTGCACCTCTCCTTGTTCTCAGCCTCCCACGATTTTGGGAGGGGACCGGCAGAGGTACAGGTGACGGCAGAGGAGGACGGTGGAGCTTGGGCTCCCATGGACAAGGTCCCACCTGGAGGGGTCCGTCACCCACCATGAGCTCCTGTGGGTCAGCCACCAGGACCCACATGGATTTGTGACCGGCCTCTCGGTCCCACGCTTGAGTGGGCGCTGCAAGGAAGCTAATGGGCTTTTATTGAGCTGAGGGGAGCAGGGTCGCATCAGCCAGGCACCGCAGCAGACCGGCAAGGTCTCCCATTCTTCCAGGAAGCGTGGGGAGGAGGAGGCTGCAAAGCCAGAAGCCATTAGGGGCTCCCTGGGGCTAGGCACACTCACCTCTTCCCTTCCATGGGAGAGCAGCCCTTTTTCTCCAGGTTTCTGCTCCTATTTGCTTGGCCCATTAGCCGAGGCATTAAATTTTAACATTTTTTTGTTGCTCCTTGCAGCATGTTCCCAGCGAATGGGTGCCTGGGTGGGTGCCAGGGCCCTGGCGCCGTACCCGGGGGGCCTGGGGGACTGCGGGAGCCTGGCTGTGACAGGGGTACCCGCCTGCGTCCCACGGGCAGGAGAGGGGCTCCCCCAGAGCTGGACGCAGCCCCATCGTCCTGGACACAGGGTTCTGCCAGCCGCCCACGCTGTCAGGGGGGTGACAAAGCGGTGCCAACCCCACCCCCCCGGGCAGCCAGGCCAGCCCACGGATGATGCTGCCTGCAGCCCTGCCTGCTCCCACATCCCCTCTGGGTGATGAGCAACCATCCTATTGCCCAGCCCCGCAATTCTCCGTGCCCTGCAGCAGCAGCCCCCGGCCCTGACCACCCACCAGCTTCACCCCCTCTGCCCCTCTGCCCATGCCCCCAGCCCTCACAAAACGCCCAGTGTCGGTAGGAAACCAGTAAACAGCAACCTCTGCTTGCAGGCACAGCCCACGGCTGCTGCTCTCGAGGGGGTTTTTGCTGCCCCATGGCTCTCTTGGTGCAAACCACCCCAAGGAGCCTGCAAAAGGGTCCTGCTCTCCCCACCCCTCAGCACAAGCCGTCCCCCAGCCCCTCTTTGCCGTGGGTCTTCAGCGAGCGCCCTGCTCCGCTCCACTCGGGGTGGGCAGGTCCAAGGGCAGCACAAATGGCAGGAGAAATGCTGAGGCTTGAAATAGCTGATGGAAGTGGATGGCTCGAGGATGAGCCCTGCTCTGAATCACGAAGCTCCCACCGCTGCGTAAACACCCCCACAGCCGTGGCAAGAGAGCACAGGCAGCCTGGCCTCCTCCCCACGCAGCCCCGGGGGACGTGTCTGCCCCATCCCAGCCGGCCACAGGCTCTGGAGGCACGTCTGAGGATGTGGCCATGGGGCTGGGGTCTCTGCTGAGCCCCAGCCTCCATCCCCAATGGGGACCAGTGTGGGGTGGCTGAATCCCATCAGAGATGTGAAGCGCGGGCACCTCGCAGCCTCAGGTGTGGGATCACCTAACCCAGCACCCTTCCAGATGCATGGAAGAAGGTGATGGAAATGAGTTTGGGATAAACCACGCTTGAGGTTGGGTCCTTCTCTCTCCTGGGGAAGCTGTGCGGCGAGGACAGGACCCACAAGCAGCATGGCCAGGAGCTTTCTGGCCATGAGAAATTAAAAAGCCATCGATTTTTGCCATTAGAGGGGGTGTGGCTGGAGCAGATGTGCTGCAAGCAGAGTCACGCACTGAATAATTCATGGCGAGAGATGACGAAGCCCGTGGCCAGGCTGGGGAAGCCTCTCCGTGTCCTCCTGCTGCTGCCTCCCAAGGACGACGGGGCCTTTGCTTCTTGCCCCGGGGGGGATGGATGTGGGCTGGGGCGAGGGACCGGTGCTGCTCTCCATCTCAGGGACCTGGGGGCACACACTGGTCCCTGAACTTGTCCCGCAGGAGTAGCTGGATGTTGCTGGCAGGGCTGCCCTGGCTTTGCACCGATAATGCAGAGCCACCCCTTTTGGGGCAGAGACACCCACTGCGGGGCAAAGATGCCACCTCGTGGGGCAGAGACACCTCTTGCAGGACAGGGACACACGTTGTGGGGCAGGGACACCCCTCATGCTACGCCGTGCCCTGCCATGCCCCACCATGCCTAGCTGTGCAGCGGGGAGCAGCCCCCCAGGAACGGCTCCCAGGCCACCTTCTCCACCCTCGGCAGGGCAGAGGGCACCCACGGGAACCCACGGGCACCCAGGCTAAGAGAATTCCTCCCCACCTCCAGGTTGGGCCGTGTCCCTCATGCCAAGGGCTGGCCAAGGCAGAGACTGGAGAAGTAGGATGGGGTGCTGGGGGACAGAGCATGGGTTTCTCGGTGACAACCGGCGCACTGGGCAGGTGGGCTGAGTTTGCCATGTGTCAGCTGCGGCGCTGACGAGCCCCGAGGCAGCAGCCCGGAGCTGGGAGAGGGCAGCTGGAACCTGGGCAGGGCCGGTGGCGGCAACCGAGGAGTTAACTTCCCAGCCTCGCCGCATGAATCTGGAGCTATTAATACTCGCACGCTGGTTTAGCTGTCAGAGCGAGCGGCTGCTCTGCCGGTGAGACGAGCCCCGCGGAGCCGCCGCTCGCCGACGACACAACTTTCCTCCGTGAGCGCGTGGAGCTCCCGGCCGGGCTGCCTGCCTGCTGGCTCCTGCCAGACCCTGCCAGACCCTGCCAGCTCCTGCCAGACCCCGCCAGACCCCACCAGCTCCTGCCAGACCCCACCGGACCCCGCTTGCTGCGAGCCCCTGCTCAGGGGACACTTCCCCTGGCAGCGCCGCGAGCATCATCCTCTGCGCCCACCGCCGTCCAGTGCCATATGGGCGCTGGGTGCTGGAGAGGGGCAACCGCTTCCCCTGGCCTCTGAAGCACCGCAGAGCTTGGCTGGGGCCTCATCCTGCCCTGCCGGACCCCCTCAACCTGGGCGATGCCACCCCAGGTCCCTGCCCACACCCCCTGAGGACGGGTGCTGCCTCCGGCCAGGCTGCGCGATGGGTGCCGGGGTGACGTTGGGCATTGCCAGCCCCGGAGCGAAGGCGACGTGGGACACGGCACAGCCTGGCACCGCATCCGTGCGCGGTGAGCAGCCAGCACCGACACTCAGCCCGGCCGCGTGAAGGGCTCCCTGGCACCATGGCCCCGGGCGGGCGAGCGTGAGCCTCCGGCCGCACCGGTGAGGAGGAGGAAGATGCCAACACCCCTCCGGCACTGCCTGGTCTATGGTCCCCCTTGCCCAGGCACGGCGGCCGCCGGAGCCCAGCAATGGATTCCTTCTGCTTCGTCTGCTTCCAGAAAGAGGAGCTGCAGCCCCTGCACCTGCACAGGTCAGTGCCACCGTGCCCGGTCGGGTGGGACATGGGAGCGTGGCACCGAGCAGGGCTGGGGGGGACAAAGCCTGGCGTGAGAGCTGCCTGCCTCGGCCGTGCCGAAGTTTCCCTCGGAGCGGGCGCATCCTCTCCTGGCCGGAGGAGATGGGCGCTGTGCCGTGCCGTGCCGTGCCGTGCCGGGGAGAGCCTGCGTGCACAGCACGTGTGCGCATCCACCATGTGCTTCCCTGGCAGCAGCTCTCCAGGGCACGGGGTGGGCATCCCGTGGCGTGCCGAGTGGTGCCGGTGTTCCCCGTGGGAGCGGGGCTGTTGGGGCTGTGCGAAGCTGGAGCCATCCCTCCCGCTCCTGCTCACCTGAACAGGGTCCCTGGCCGGACTCTGCCCTTGGGCCTCGCTGCTACCCCAGGGGCAGGGTCTGGCTGGGGGGTCAGGGGGGCCAGGGAACTTGGGGGGTCCCCAAGGAGGGCCACAAGGCTCCCCAAGGCCTGGCCCTCTCAGCAGCAGCACCGGCGCTTGCCTCCCCCCTCCTCCTCCCCGCAAGCTCTTCTCCCATCGTGCTGCTGAGCGGCAGCCAAGGCGAATGTGCCGGTGCCGGAATTAGCCAGGCAGCCGGCAGGGATGCGAGGTGTGAACGCCGGCACATGGTGTGCCCAACTGCTCCTCGGTGGCACCGAGCCACCGCCGGCTCCTGTCCCGTGCCACCAGCCCCGGAGCAAAGCTCCCAGCCTGCCACGGCCGGGAGCCCCCCACGAGCACGGGCTGCCCACGGCGAGCGCTGAGGCGGGGGGGGCAGTGGTGCCGGGCTGGCAGCCAGGCAGGGCTACGGGCTGGGCTGTGGGCGCCTGCCAGTCCGGGCAGTCTGTCTTTCCACCCGGTGTGCAAGAAGCCGTAGGATTTGTTTTGATGTAAATCATGTTTTTTGGAGCCTCGATTTCTGTGAGTGGCTGCCCGCAAGCTCGGTGCTGGCTGGGAAGGTGCCGGAGGTGGGGGGGGGACTGGGGGACCAAAGGTGGGAAAGGGGCCTTGGATGTGGGTGCTGCTGGTTGGACAGGGGTGTGGAGCATCCCCTGAGCTCCCGTCTCGCAGCCCGACCCGGGGTTGGAGCCAACTGGCTGCTTCCAGCCTGTGCTGGGCCACAGGTGACACGAGTTTGGCGTTCTCAGCCAGGGAGGGGAGAGCCCGGCGTGGCAGTGTGGTGGCCCAAGGTCCTGCCTGGTGGCCGCGGGGGACCACCCCCTCCCTCCGCAGGGAGACGGTGAGGGATGGACACCCGTGGCTTGTCCCCAGAGACTTCTCCCTGTCCTGCCCTGCTTCAAGGTGGGCTGTGCTGGGTGGGGGTCCCCATGTGTGTCGTCCCCCCCCCAATTGTCACCACGCTGTCCCCACCAGCCTTTCCCTGAGCCTCCTTCCAGCCCGTGGGGACAGGACTGTCATTGTGTGCCACCACCAGCACAATGGGCTCCCCCCGGGGTGGGTGGAGGGGGTGGCGGGGAGGGGGGAGGGGGTGGTGCCAAGCAGAGAGACCCTCTGGGTGCTCCCCACCCCACCACCGACCCCGGGTGGGCCTGTCACCCCGAGCGCGTGGGCCCACGCACGTGGGTGCCGGAGGCGGCGTGCCTGTCCCCGCAGCCTCGCTAGATGGTGCCAGGAGAACGGGCTGCGCGCCGAGGCGGCCGCGGGCGCGAGGTGCCGGTCGGTGCCAGGCTGCCCTGGGGGTGTCGGGGTGCCGGGGCAGGCCCCCCACGCCTCTCCCTCTGCTCCCAGGTCAGTCCTGCTGGCCGCTTTGGCCCCGGTTGGTGACGGGACGGGAAATGCTGCAAGTGGGAGCTGTGGGCACGGCCGTGCCACGGCCCCAGGCAGCGATTCAGCCAGCGCCCGCGGCTTCAGACCCAGGTGGGGGGGTGGGAATGGGACAGTACCGTGACCCCGCTACGCCCCCAAATCCCACCTCCCCCACGAAGAAACACGTTCTGCTTCTTCTCAGAAGAAACTCATTGTTTCCTTTCAACCCAGTAGCTGAACAGTCATCGTTATGCTCCAGAGTCAACACCACATCCAAGCTTTCTGCAAGCGGCCGCAGGCGTGTGGTGCCGCAGATCCCAGCCCATCTTGTGCTGGGGGGGTCAGCACTCAGGACACTGTGCCCCCCGCCCGGCTGGTTTAGGTCCATCCTGTGCCCCCCAGGAGCATGGGAAGGGGCCTGGGGGGGGCTGCGGGAGGAGAGGCAGCACCCCAACAGCCTCTGGCAGCAGCTTGATGTGTCCCCACCGTGCAGATTGTGCCCCCCCGGCACCAGGGTTGTGTCTCCTCCCTGACCTTGAGAGCAGCCGCTGGGAATCCTGTCCCGGTGTCACAGCAGGGGCTGGCAGCACACCACTTGGGGGGGGGGGACACACACACCGCTGCGGTGGGGGGCACTTAACCCCCCACCCCAGTGCTCCGGGAACCGTCTCCAACCAGCCCCTTTTCCCCCTGAAAGCCCCCCGGCTGGGCGCTGTCCCTGGGGACTGGGGGGTCAGCCAGCCCCCCCCCTCACACCCCCCCTCACCCCAGTCCTGACATGGATTGTGCATCCCCGGGCTGGCGATGCCGAGGGGAGCCCGGGACGGAGAGCGGGCAGCGAAGGTCGTGCCGGTGCCTGCACCGAAGCTGGCCTAACCGCAGGGGCACGGCGGGAGGTTTCGGGGGCTCCATGGATGCTGGGGAGGGGGGGGGGGGGGGGGAACCTCCAAAAGCAGCTGGGAAACGCCGCCGGCAGCTCCCCGGGCTGAGCGCGTCCCCTCGGCTGGCACTGCAGCTCCCGGCGTGCCCCGCTCCCGCGTCGCCCTCCTCCTTCCCTCCCCGCCTGCTCCTTCCCAGCAGCCCTGCCAGCATCTGCGGGCAGGTTTCAGCTCATGTCACCGGAGCGTGACGGGCTGCGGGCGGCCGCGGCACCCCGACCCCCGCGCTGTGTGGGGCACAGGCCCTTGACTCCCGCTCTGCCGGGGAGGGGGGGGACACCAAGTGACCAGCAAAAGGACAAGCAACCTTCTGGCTGAATTTGGAGGGGAGTGGGCTTGCCAGAAATATTTTGGGCTTTTCAGGTCATCTCCCTACCTCCCGCCCTGTCTGAGCACATCGCCCATGGCACAAGCCAGGGATATTTCCTTTCCGAGCAGAAATCCCGGGGGCATTCGTGGTCCCTTGGGGAGCCGTGGGCTCACTGCATGGTTTGGGGTTGAACTAGGTGATAAACATGTTTGATCCATCTCCTTTCATCTCACAAACCTTAATTAGTTATTAATATTCTCTAAGTGCTTTGAAGACCAACAAGCTCGATGCAAACACTAACCAGTGCTATTGGTGTTACTATTATTCAATTTGTGTGTGACCCACGTGCTGGCCACGTGCGGGTCTGCAGCCTGGCAGCCGCAAAATGAGCCCCACAGAGCCCTGCCGAGCCCCACGGAGCCCCACAGAACCCCACTGAGCCTCCCCCCCCCGCCCGGAGCCCTGCCACATCCCAGTTGGTCCCTCACTTACAGCTCAGCCTCTGTGTGCCCGGAGCACGGCACAGCCCCATCCTCTGACACCGGGGTGGTGACACCAGCAGCCGTGCCACATGTGGGATGTGCTGTCCCCACAGCCCCCCATGGCCCCCGGGCAGGCTCCCCGGGCACCGGCACCTCGCGCCTGACCTAGAAACAGCCCTGAGCTATAAATAAGGTGAGCTGAAGGAGAGCTCAGAGGCGCAGCTCGAACCGCAGCGAGCAGGAGGCTGCGGGAGCCGGGGAGCCGCAGCCGGGGGACGGCATGGCAAGGGCAGGCAGGGGACACGGCGGGGGACGACGACAGGGGCCTTGTGTGGGTGCTGTGGGAAGGGACACGGCTGGACCCACGCCGTCCCCAGCGGCCGGTGGAGCGGGACGTGCGAGGAAGGCTGCGGTGGCTGTCGCCAGCCCGTGTCCTGCTTTACACGGCGGCGCGGGGAGCACCGCAGCTCTGCCCCATCTCCCACACCGTGCCCGTTCCCGGCGCCTTCGCCCCCGAGATGCCAATCCCTTTTTCCCAGCCCCACAGCGGCTGAGCTGAGCACCCACCCAGCACCCATCCAGCCTGCCCTGGCTTGCTGGGTCACTGAGCTCTGGTGACACGGGGGACGGCGTTTCTCCTCTCGTGCCACGCGGGTGCCCCCATCCCGGAGGGGATCGTCTGTAGTCAGAGCACCCGAGCCACAGGTGCCGGGGCTGTGGCAGGGACCGGCGAGCGGAGCGGGGATCGAGGGGACCGGGAAGCGCTCGTGAGCCACAGCCGCCTCTCCTGCTGCCCAGAGCAGAGGCCGGCGATGCCCTGGGTGGCTGCTGGACGGGAGAAGGGTGGCAATGTCACAGCAGTGCCTGGCACCTATGAAAGAGAAGCGTCAGAATGTGATTTCAGCCTCTCGTTTTAAAGTCATTCATAAAAAGACTAATTGCTCTGTGTGCTCAACTGGAAGCGGATTAGAGGGGCCAGTGAGTCAGTGGTGACGGCTCCCCTGCCCTCCCCGGTGGCGGAGGGCTCGGGGGGCAGAGGGACAGCCCCGGTCCCGTGGAGTGGGCACAGCCGGCTCGCACGGCGCGTGGGAACAACCCACCGTCACCCCTTGGAGCGCGGGGCGGCCCCACGGCTGTGGGTCAGCTCAACGCAGCATCGCCGGAGCAAAAGGACCCGGCACCCAGCCAAGGAAGCCCCAAACCGAGTTTGGGCCTGTTAAAACATCCCCGCTCAGCCCCGGCGAGCGCAGGAAGAGATCCGGAAAGGCTGGATGTGCCCCGGGATGCTCCGAGGAGGAGCGCGGTGCCTACCCCTCGCCGTCCCCGGGGAGAGCTGCCGCTGTCCCCTTGGAGCTCCTGGTGCCCCGGCGCTCACATCGCTTGCTGAACGTGTTGCCAAATTTTAACGAGGCCGAAAGGAAACCGGCGCGGCACATCTGCCTCAACCGCCTTTCCCCAGCACGGTCCGAACGGCCCCGCCATCCG